TTGTTGCTGTAAAAATATGTCCAGCTTCCACTGCTGGTTAGTGTACTGGACTGGATGGCTACTATCTCAGAAATAGAGTCACCATATTCCTCTATGTTTCATTTAGTGATGCAATCAAGTGACTATAAAGCTGAGAAAAATGTCTAATGAAAATTTTCTGTCACCCAAATGCACAGTTGCATTGCCAGAACCAAACAGATCCATTTCTCAGTAAACACTTGCCAAAAGTCTGGTAGTGGTGGAATTTGGAGAGGAAACCTTGTCCCTCTGCCTTCACACCTCTGCAGACAAGTTGGGAAATGGATTATGAAGAGTACCATTATGGAATGTCCTGAGGCTTATTCCTGGCAGTGACCCACCATTGAGCTAAAAGCAAGGAAAGAAAAGTATCCTCTCAGAACACATGGATCCATCACAAGATAGTGGATTATACACCAGGACATCCTGTTTTGAGGAGGACAGGGAAACATGTGTTCATGGCCTTTTAAAAAATGCTGTTGAATACTGGTGGCCACAAGGCTGACAGCAAAGGCACAACTTGGGAAGTTTACTTTTTGGGGATGAACTACCCTCCCCAGGATTCCTCAGCCACAGTAGTCACCAACTATAGGATTCTGGGTTATGATCAAATGTTTTCCCTCTAAGCTGCGTACATGAGAGTATGAGATTCCATTGATCTGTTGACCTTCTTACTCTGTTCATCTTATGGGCAGTCTAGTCAATGCCCCATACTAGGGAACATAAGCATGGCTAAGTTTGTAGAGAGGAGGGGGGGATTAAGCAATCATGTTACTAGTCTGAAAGCCATAGAAATTTTCTGACTTCTTTCTTGGTTTGAGCTGACAAGACATTTCACACAAAGAGTGCTACTGTCCTCCAGAGGGGCTTCAGGCTATCTCTTCTTCCATAGTATGGCCTGACTTGAGCTCCATGTACTGACTCGTATTTTGACACCTTAAAAAACTAATATCCTTCCCAGCCATCTGAATATTCAGGTGCTTTTGACTATCAGGTGTATTGACTGCAGCCGCTGAATAAGAGGCCTTGAAGAAGATTCTCATTGGGATGTCATACTATAAATGAGAATACAGTTTTGTTCTCCCACTGAAGGAACACATTTGCACCCTAGAGATGTTCTTTGACATTGCTTTTCTACTGGAAGGCCAGGGGGCTACTGTAGCCAAAAGTATCTTTGTCTAGGTCAGAGTTTCTCAACCTGGGGTCGTGGCCCCTGGGGGGGGTCAGAGGGGTCTCCAAAGACCATCAGAAAACATAGTATTTTCAGTTGGTCATGGGGGTTCTGTGTGAGAAGTCTGTCCCAATTCTATCGTTGGTGGAGTTCAGAATGCTCTTTGATTGTAGGTGAACTATAAATCCCAGCAACTACAACTCCCAAATGATCCATGGCACACTCTTAATGCAATGCGCATATTATTCCAATGTTTGGTAGGCCCCAATGACTGAATCCTGGATCCCATATCCATGCCAACTTCTCCAAAAGTTTGCCAAAGTAGCCAACACTCATCAATCCAACACTCATCAATCCCACCAACCCCATCAGTATTCAAACTTGGACGTACTGGGTATTTGTGCCAAATTTCGTCCAGTGAATGAAAATACATCCTGCATATCATATATTTACATGATATCAGTTATGAATATAACAGGAGTAACAATACCATTATGAAGTAGCAACGGAAATAATTTTATGGCGAGGGTCATCGCAGCATGAGGAAATGTATTAAGGAGTCGCGGCGTGAGGAAGGTTGAGAAACACTGGTCTAGGTAAATTTGGCCATAGCGACCCATGCGACTGTTCTTGGCTAGTCTAATATCACATGCTTGCAATGTGTTTAGAAGCTGTAGTTAGTGACTGTTGAGTGGTATGTGCTTTAGAGATCATATGTCCCCAGTATTGAACCAATGACATTAGCTTCCAATCTGTTTCCAAGCCCCGTTAAAGATGTTGATTTTGTCCTATAAAGTCCTAAACAGCTTGGAGCCAGAAGATCTGAAAGACCACATTCTCCTATATAAGCTTGCCTGAAATTCATAAACTTTCACTAAGTGGGGGGCTCGGTTGTGTGCTCCACAACTCCCAAAGGTTAAACTGGTGTGCATGTAAGAGAGGACTTTCTCTGTAGTAGCACCCCAGTTGTGGAAAAGCGTCCAGCAGGCAGTCAAATCAGTATTGTTTCTAAATTACTTTAATCATGAGTACCAGGCTTCCCCCCCTCTTCCAAAATCTGTTTCTGTTTGATGTGTAAGGTGCTAAACCTATTTGGGGAATAGCACGGTGTGCATTTGGTGGGTCACTTAAAGTTCAGATTAAATCCCAGTGCAAACACACACACCCTATCTTCACTAATGTGGAGACCACCAGAGACAACTACAGAGATTCAGCACTTCATATGTTTACATTGCTCAAATAAATGAGCCTTACACCAAGTCAGACAACAGGTCTGTATAACTTAGTATGTTCATGCATACCAGCTATTCAACATTTCTAAGAGGAGACTTTCCCAAGCTGGTCTGGAGTCGTGCCTTCAGGAAGTTCACAAGTAGAACCGTGAAGGCTTCCTTTCTTAGGTCAAAGCGATGAAGTATTCCAACTCATTATCCATTGGTCCCTCTTCTTCTGCTACTCTTGTTTTGTTCAAACTTAAAGGTCACCTCAATTTGAATACCTGTCTATGAATAGAAATATGAAGACCTTCAGATGTTCCTAAATCCACTGCCAATTTGTGTGGCTTTTATAGTGCTATTTGCCTTTTCTTTGCACAGACGCAAAATATCAGTTCTCTGCCGGTGTCTGTGCGCATACACATGGATGTATGACTCACTTAATCCAGAATGGGCGCTGTTGCAAAGGAAAGGAGAATATACATTTTGCCAGCAGCCCACTAGGAATCTATTTAAGCTCATAAAAACAGTATGCCAAAAAGTCCTACTGCAGTACTTTTATATCAATCAATGTTGCTGGGAATTACAATTAGTTTTAGCAACTTCACACAGAGAGAGGAGAATGACCTCTTTCTAGGCACATATTGAAACGTTCAGATAATGAGCTAAGCGGCTCACAGTGTACCACTGTGATGTTAAAAAAGGCATCGTAATCATCAGGCAGTAGTCCTTCCTGTCTGTCCCTTCACTAGGGTTTCAGCTGATTGAAAACTTCCATCTTCTCTGCCATCTTTTGCAAAGGCTGCCATGAATCCAGGAGGCTGAGGACAACTGAAATCCTATATCCCAGGGCAACTGATCCAAGGCCTAGAGGACTCCATTATTCTCTCACTTCATCATAAATCAAGTTTATGAAACAGTAGCAAGCACATCCAAACATTACCATGTCTGAGGAAACTTTGTCACTCTAAAGTTACAATTGGCTCCAGACAAGTAGTGGATGGGGCCAAACCAAAAGTGGGAGTATCAACAGCATTGCTATCATCCAGGTCCCAATATATCTAGACCCCATTTTTGTCTGCTTGTGAGTACACAAACATACATATAATAGATTCACGTATGTAGGTTCTCAGATCCCTTCTTCTCCAGTCATCCAAGCAAGGGTAAGAAGCTCAAAGCAAGAGTGTTGCCTTAAAAGATGTGGGTATATAATATATATCTTTCACCATTGGCTAGATTTGAGTTTGTGTTAGTCTATGCTGCAGTCAGCAGAGGGAGCCTATGAACTCCCTAGAATGGCTGGGGAGGGAGTGAATTCTCCAATCACTTCAGACAACCATGTACTAGTACTTGCTTCCCACTACTTGTTAGCTGTAGTAGTAGTAGTAGTAGTAGTAATTTTATTGATTAGCCCTTAGGTCATATCACAATATCAAACAAAACAACAAGGCTTGATATGATTGCACTCTATGTAGTAAGTTAAAATAAGACACTTATAACAATATAGTAAATAAATATATGATAAAACTGAGTATATACTTCATATTTCCTTATCACCCATACAATTTACTCCGATCAGCCCCACATATGTGGTTCTCAGACGTATTGTTTTGCTTAAATATAGAGCTGTTTTATATGTTATTTTTGGGTCTTGGCCACACATAAAATGTGTTGTTCTGCATACAGCCCCCTTTACATCAGCTCCACTGGCTGCCAGTTTGCTACTGGGCTCAATTCAAAGTGCTGGCTTTGACCTATAAAGCCCTAAATGGTTCTGGTCCAACTTACCTGTCTGAATGTATCTTCCTTTATGAGTCAATTAGTGCTTTAAGATCTGCTGGGGAGGCCCTACCCCCAGTCCCACTCCCTTTGCAAGTGCAACTAGTGGGGACGAGAGACAGGGCCTTCTCAGTGGTTGCCTCTGGGCTATGGAACCCTTTCACCAGTGACATCAGATTGGCCCCATCTCTCCTGGTCTTCAGGAAAAAGCTAAAGACCTGGCTTTGCACACAGGCATTCGAGGAGTAGAGTAATATGGATTCCGACTTGAATGTAGCAGCTTGAATAATGACCATGGGACTCAGCACTATGTTTGTAATCTGTTTAATTGCATATATATCTTTGAACTGTTTTATAATTTTATAAGTCATATTTATTATTGTATGTATAATGCAGCATTGAATTTTGCCATAATCTGTAAGCCGCTCTGAGTGCCCTTTGGGGTGAGAAGAGTAGGGTATAAATATAGTAAATAAATAAATGATGTGAGATTCCCAATACATTGTCAGTTTGATATATGGACCAAGGTAGAAGTCTACTTGTTAGCTGTTCTGGGAGTAAATGGTTGTTTAAATCGCAAACAGGTGCTAATTTGCTAGATGGCAGCAGTGTCTCCTTGAAGTGGTGGCTGTTGTTTTAAATTCAATATTTTACATTGGCTTTGTTTTTAGGCAAACAAGATGAGCTACCAGAATCGTTCTTAGTGAGAGGTTTCCTGTTGCAGTCACATTTATTGCTATGCAGACTGCCGTGCCTCCATAATGGAATACCACTCCTCATCCTTTCAAGTGGCAAACCCCCCTTGCTTTATTTTCCAGATATATTCTCATCATACAGCAAGAAATATATTTGAATGAGAAAGAAAAAAGAATATTCAAGAAAAAGAGCAGAAATTGTGAAACCTCAAAGCACTTTGTTGTTAAGTATACATGAAGAATGAAAACACCCAGGTAAGCAGTTTTAACTTTTTCCAATAACCATTCTATGTTCTATACAGTATTCCTTTCACATTTGTACATTAAGCATTTGTGGATTTGATTACTCATGAATTGCTGCCACTCACACCACTGCCCAACACACAACTGGAAAAAAGTGTTCTCTGTAGGCATGTGTAGATCTTCCAATATCATTCTGTTGGAAGTTGCCCATTGAATTATGCTGGAGGACATACCAATGCCTAGAGAATTGTTCTCTTAGGGAAAAACATGGTGGGGCTGTTTTGTGTAGTGGTCCTGTTGCATAGCCTCTCTACATCAGTGGTTCCCAGCTGTGGTCTGTGGACCACCAGCGGTCCCCAAGACTAAAATATGGTCCGCAGCCTCACCATTACTACACTGTTGCAATGAGAGCGACTGGTCTCACGAAACCCTCCTATAGTGCCGAGGCAATGGGGATGTTGGGAGGGGAGAGGCTGACTACCCACGAAAGGTGCAAAAACAAGCTGCTGCTGCTTCTCTTCCTCCTCTCTCCCCTTGAGCAGAGCTGTTCCATATGGCACCTGGAAGCAAGGGTACCTTGGTCTGTTCCTGGGGTTATTTGGAGTTCTGATTCAGAAAATTAAATTGAATAGACCACATCAACTCTAGATTATTAATTATGGTTTTCTGTGGGCGAGCAGATAGCGACTACTGAATGGCATATGTTCTATATCAGAAACTAGAGCTGATGTGATCTATCTAATGCAATTTTCTGAACCAACACCCTGAATAACCAAACTAAATCTAAATTGACTATTTCATAACCCTTTTGGTACCAATGCTAGAGAGTGGTCCCTGGTTTAAAAAAAAAAAGGTTGGGAACCACTGCTCTATGTGTACATGTTAACTGGTGGGTATGTATTTCCAATATTCAATGGATGTAGAAATGAATGCCAGCTTGAAATTGCATCAGGATACAGTGCTCATCTATTATTATTTTGGTTATCATTATTGGTGAAATAAAGCAAGACGAGGCAGCATATACAGTCAGCTGGCCCTTGGTATGGCTCTAGGACTTCTATGGATGCCAAAATCCATGGATGCTCAAGTCCTATTATACTGTATACAATGTCTAGTAAAATGATGTCCCTTATCTATAATGGCAAAATCAATGTTTATTTTTTGAATATATATGCGGTATACAGACGCACACATATATCCACACATACACACACATGCATGTATTTTCAAGCCATAGATACTGAAATCCATGAAAATAGAGGGATGACTGCACTCATTTTTCTAGCATTTCTGTGCTGGCTTTTACTCTCCAAGCACTCTTTTATCCATGTGGGGACTAAAAGTCTAATTTGCTGTTTTTCAAACTGGCATTTGGACCGAGAAACAGTAGGAAGGAGAAGTGCTGAGCATCTCCTCCCTTGTGGTCTTTCTTCATTCATTTTGACATCGTGAATAATACTTGTGGGGCCATTACTTGCATTTTTGTCCTTAGTTCCCCTTCTTCTTTGGCATTCAGGAAAAGTTTCAGATTAATATTGAGGCGTGACTCTTATAAATGTTTGATAGTCATAATGTTGGCAAAACCTGACAGTTTAGAACAGGGATTAGCTGGAGTTGGTGGCCTCTTCAAAGAATCAAGCACAATATGAATAAGAGTTTTGTTACCAGAAAGCCGTCGCTTTTTTCCTCATGTACCATCAGCCAGGAACATCACTAGACACATGCAGAGCTGGCCTGTTCAAATGAATTCTCCTGTTGTATTAAAAAGTGTGTCGAATGGCAATTTTGAGAAGATGAGAAATGCAATAAAGCAGCTATGAAATCCAAAGTATTGGTTGGAAGGTGTCCAAAGGCAGATCAAACAACTTTGGCTGCTCACTGTGCAAGCTTCTCAGGAATGCATGACTATGAACAACGCTGAGATTTCTAGAGCTCTTAGGATATCTGGGAGGAGGAAATCAGGGACAGAGATAGATGCTTTTGTTCACTTTTAGAAACCTTGCCACGATGGTGTGTGTGAATACCATATGTTTCAACTGATGAGATCATATAAAAGATCAATGACAGGAAGAGAAAGATTATTCAAGTGCTATTCAAGTGGTATTCTAGGAAATAGGGCCTTGGTGGCACAGTGAGTTAAACTGCCAAGCTGCAGAACTTGTTGACCAGAAGGTCAGCGGTTTGACTCCACGGGACGGGGTGAGCTCTCATAATTAGCCCCAGCTTCTGCCAGCCTAGCAGTTCAAAAACATGCAAATGTGAATAGATCAATAGGTACTGCTTCTATGGGATGGTAACGGTGCTCCATGCAGTCATGTCGGCCACATGACCTTGGAGGCATCTATGGACAGTGCCGGCTTTTTGGCTTAGAAATGGAGATGAACACCACCCCCCAGAGTCAGAATTGACTAGACTTAATGTCAAGGGGAAACCTTTACCTACCCTAGGGCAAGAAATTTTCTTATTCTGAGAAATTCACTTGCCTAGCTTCCAACAGAACTCATAACCTCCGAGGATGCCTGATAGATGTGGGCGAAACCTCAGGACAGAATGCTTCTGGAACATGGCCATACAGCCCAGAAAACTCAAAGCCACCCATGCTGTCAGTCTTTGTCAATGGCTCAGGCCTCTTGACATAACCCAGAAATGCTGTTTTTCTTTATACAATCTATTTATTATTTGGATTGTCAGTCAAAGTAATATGAGAATATTATATTTCAGTGAAAAGAAAACACTTCTGTTCCCAGGCCCAAGAAATCCCACAGAATTCAATGAAGACAGTGTTGTACAGAGAAGCAAAATTCATGCTTTTCTTTTCATTTTATAACCAGTGGGACACAAGAATTAATATAAGAGGCAAGAAAGAAAACAGTTCTGGCACGTAGTGACACCTCTCCTTCCTGGGGAAGAGGAAATAAAACCTCTTTCATATCCGAAGCCTTTCACGCTCTGAGCTCTTCACGGCTAGAGCAGGGGCGGTCGACAGCTAGGATGTTAACATGTCTGGGCTCTTTCCCCTTTACACCTTCACCTCCCATCCCATGAAGCGCAGCCAAGAACAGCATCTTCTCAAGTAACAGGAGAACTCCAGTCAAGGTCCTGAAAGGAATTCTCACTCTATCGGGTGTACCGCTTGGCAAGGGCCTCAGGTCAAGTCCTGCAGCTGTAATAATAAAGCCCTACTTCAGAATGGTTACCCTGACCTGTGACGGCTGCTGCTGTTGTCATCATCGAGTTTGAAATGACTTAAAAATACTAAAAGGATCAAGGGTGGATTTAGGGGTGGATTGCTGTGCATGATGATGAATGGAGCCTAACGATGTCATGAATTGGAATGCAAGGACTCTGCCTCTGTATGGAGTGGTGCTGTGCACATGGAGCTCAACTCAGGAAGATACCATTGTGTTGAAATCGGATTTGAATCACATATTTTGTGATCTATGCTGGCAACATCCTAGCAGCTTATTATTGATTGTGAGTGCATCTGCACTGTCTGTATATGCAGTTTGATCCCGTTTTCACCATCATGTCTCAATGCTATAGAATCATGTGAGGTGTAGTTTGGCGAGGCATCAGCACTCTTTGGCAGAGAAGACTAAAGACCTTATAAAACTACAACTCCTATGATTCTGTAGCATTCAGCAATGGCAGTTAAAGTGAAATAATTCTACAGCAGTGTTTTTCAAGCTGGGGGTTGGGACTCCTGAGGGGGTTGCAGGGGTGTTTCAGAGGGGTCGCCAAAGACCATCAGAAAACATATATTTCTGATGGACTTAGGAACCCCTTTGGCAGAGAAGGCTGAAGATCGCTCCGCCTGTCCTTCTCTTCCTTTTTGGAAACAGTCAGCAAATCCATCTACCAAAAGCTCTCCTTCGCTGTGATTGGCTGGCCTCTCAGCCAAGGGGAAGGCTGTTTTTGTGGCTCTAAGCGGGGAGGGGAGAGAAGGCATGATCAATGCATGCAAGGGAGAGCGTGATCAGCACATGCAAGGGAGAGCGCATGTGCGGGGCAAGGGAGAGCATGAGAGGCTGGAGGGAGGCTGATGCCAGTGAGTCCCTTCAAGACATAGGGGTTCTGTCTGGGAAGTTTGGCCCAATTCTATTGTTGGTAGGGTTCAGAATGCTGTAGGTGAACTATCAATCCCAGCAACATCAAGGTCTATTTTTCTCAAACTCTACCACTGGTCACATTTGAGCATATTGAATATTCATGCCAAGTTTGGTTCAGATTTATCATTGTTTGAGTCCACAGTCCTCTCCGGATGTCAGTGAGTGACAATTCCAAAACTCAAAGTCAATGCCCACCAGACCCTTCCAGTATTTTCTGTTGGCCATGGGAGTTCTGTTTACCAAGTTTGGTTCAATTCCATCATTGGTGGAGTTCAGAATGCTCTTTGATTGTAGGTTAACTATAAATCCCAGCAACGACAACTCCCAAATGACAAAATCAATCCCCTCCCCCCAATCCCACCAATATTCAAATTTGGGTGTATCGGGTATTTGTGCCAAATTTGGTCCAGTGAATGAAAATACATCCTGCATATCAGATATTTACATTACAGTTCATAATGGTAGCAAAATTACAGTTATGAAGTAGCAATGGAAATAATTTTGTGGTTGGGGGTCAGCACAACATGAGGAACTGTATTAAGGGGTCATGGCATTAGGAAAGTTCTACTTCTGACATAGGATGTGATTGTTAGACAGCATGAAGTATTGGTGTAGGCACGTCACGTAAGAACTTCATGGATATTAAATAGATTGCAGTCCTAGAGGTTTTTTCATCTTGAGCCTAATGCATTTGCTTAATAAATACAGTCAAATTCTTGCTTTCTAAACAGCCTGCCTAACAATCATTTCCTTTTGATTGTGTCATTTGTTGACTGAGATTTCAGTGCAGATTGAAAATATTATATACATTCTCATATTAAGCTTGTTTTTTTTAATGTAGGTGATATTTCATCTTTGCCTTTTCCACTTTGTCTTCTTCCTCTAGTTGTTTCCCCATAACTT